GTCGATTCGACGTCGATCGACGAATCATTTCTCACTGGGCACTACGTATTGCGGATCACGTTTCAGCCAATCAGACGGGGCAGCCTTGGACCCGATTGGTTGAATTGCGATCCGCGGTCCGCAATCTCAATCCGACCCGCGATCCGCAATACGTAGTGTGACACGGGCTTTATAAATCCACCCCTCACCCGGGTATCGTACAGAATTATTCGCGCCAGGATTACGATAACGACACTGTCCACGGCGCATTCGTTATCCCGCGTCGGGGAAACCCGTTTCGACATCGACGATCCGGGAGACGACTTCCTCGTTGTCAGCCTTCGTGACTCACAGTCGCAGAAAGTCAGGTGCCCGCGAGAGCCGAGCCGAGCCGTGGCACCGCCGGATCATTTGCATAATACTTTTCGTCTAACGATCGAGCCACTTTGTGATATTTTTCGCTCCGGCGCAGTCGCGATAATCCAGCGTGGGAATCGAGAGCATTTCCTACTCTTTCTCTTTTATCAAATCGCTTTTCCTAGCCGCGGCGCTCAACTGGTTCTCGCATGTTTCGCGCAAACCTCCCGAGCGTGTTTTGAATCTGTCCCCGGATAAAATTGACACTCAAGATAGCGAAACGGAACGTTGTCTTTACGGCTCAATCTTACGGCGGGGTAGTTTATACTCGCGCGATGCTGAAAGGAGATCCGATAAGACGAGAAATATATTGAAGTAATGGGTCCGCCTTCGGCGTCGGCCGCATCGAGCGCGATAATGATTCTGTAAATTTAACCTTCGACTAATTGATATAAAATTGATATCAAATCTCGCAAAGTGAAAAGGATCGAAGAATGTGAAAGCGAATTACGACGGGCGCGAGAGACCCGCTGGGGAATATTTCGTTCTGGAATATCAAATTTTGTGGATAACGACGGAATAAATTAGCGGCGCTCTTAGGACGCTCTCAGACCTTTTTAATCGCCGAACAACGCGCTAGGGCCGTACTAATTAACCCGAAGGCGATGAGAATATCCGGGCGCCATGAGAAAACCGTCTCGCGAACTCTTCGTGAGAACGCACTTGAACTCCACGAAATAGCGATACGACTCTGCCGCGCCGCGATCGAGATAAAAAAAAAAGATTCTCGCAGTCTTCCGGGAAGATTTATGCACGCGTATTATTATGACACCCGGCCGGTCGGGTTGTTTCTCGCGAACTGATTGTAATTAAACTCGGTTTATCTTCGCTCGAAGATAAAAAAACCCTGCACGTGGGGTCGTCAGTGATTCTACACTGTAAAAAGATTACACGTAAAATTACAATTATTATAATTGGTAATACTGGGACCATCTATTGAAGGTGTACATTTACATACGTCCGTAAATTTATACCTTCTAGATAAAATTATTACCTTGTATAATGAGTAAGCTGCTTGCTTTTAATTATGTAAATTTTACAATTTTTTATATTTTTTATCATATATAAACAAACATTTACAAAAAGTTAAAAAATTTGGTAAAATTACACTAATTTATATATTTCCTTTATAAATAGCGTAATCGCCACACTTATTGTGTATGTAATTTTACACACTTTTTTTACACTGTTGGAGATACAAGATTATTTCGGTCTGATCAATTTATACGTACAAACTTTTAATAATAAAAAATGATTTTTACTTTTTTTCGCATCTATAAATATAACAAACAACAAATAAGTACACTGAGAAAAAAAGGGTTGAACCAAGAACTACTTCTCGATTCAACAATATGCGGCGATCATGGGCTGCCGAGCAAATATTTATCAATTCGCAAAGATATTCGTCAATTCATAAAAATGTGTTTCGATAAATCACAGTAGGTTTAACTTAAAAAAAACTTATATATATTTAAACTAAAGAAATACTGCTGACTAAACGTATTTAGTCATTTTAATAAATTTTTCCCAGTGTAAGAACTGCTAGTCCTTTCCTCAATTTTGCAATTCTATTGAATTGAATTTTCTTCCACTTCACAGATAGCCGTCACTTGTCGTCAGCTTGCTACCTGGGTTATGTATTTACTACCCTCGCCACATATTTCTGACGACATTCGTAAGTCCGCAATTAAATTAAGCGAGAGACGCCTAATGTTATTCGCGTAAATGTCGCGTCGAATAAAATGTCGAATAAAATCAGCGGCGCGAGGGCGATAATTCCGCGGGGCGCGAGAGTGTGTAATTTCGAAACGGTCCTCCGCGTGGAGACACGGACACTTTGCGAATCGTTTTACGCGTTAACGAGCGCCCGCCCTCCCGCCTCGTATTTTCCACCGGTTTCTCGCAACGCGCTTCAAGAAACAGAGACAGAGAGGGGCAGAGGGGCGCGCCTATTATCGTTTCCTTTCTGCACGTGCTCGTTACGAGACGCGTAGTACTCCACCCGGGCATGACGACGCTCTCCGGCAATTATTCGGATTCATTACGCGCAGGAAGGGGACTTCCCTTCGGGAGCCTCGCTGCACGCCCTGCACGTACGAACGTCAGCGGGGCGCTCCACAGTAACCGGGGCCCAACGGACCCAAACGCCCGCGGCTGGCCGCCCTAACTCGCGTGCGCTACCACATAGCAGCTGAGAAATTGTTCCCATCTCTCCCCCCCCTCTCTCTCTCTCTCTCTCTCTCTCTGGCGCTAATTACTCCTCTCTTTGATTACTGCTGTGCGGCCCTAACAAATATCACTGGTGAACAAAATCTCCGTCTACAGAGAGCACATAATAGGTGTGCACGGTTCATTTTTGTGGCAAGGTGGGATAAACATAACCCCATATTTTACAAAATTAGGGTAGCTCAAGATTTAGGCGAGACGTATGTACCATGTGGCGTGTTTGACCTTTCAAATTCTGAACAAAAAAAAGCCTCCACAGAATGTTTGAAGACAGGACTGACAGGACTGAATTAAGAAGCGCCACGACACCTAGAGGTTCATTGGTGCCTCCATTATGCCTCCATTATGCCTCCATTAACTCTAAACAGAGTTTTAGAAGCACTCCTTTCGCCGTACGGCTATAGAATATTCGAATGCTATTCCGTCCAGCTTGCGGGAGGGCGGCGTTGTTCCAGAATTTAACCTGCACTTGCAGTAGGAATTCTGGTGGAGATCAGACGGGTGGGTGCGGTAATTAGTCAATTGTAATCTGCAACATCTTTCTGTATTCTATCCTTGTATTTATATTTTTTATATCTTATATATATATTTCTGTACTCAAGTTTTTTATTATACAAAAGCTCATTCTCACTTGTAATTGTCTTTCTGTGCAGCTTCCCTGTCGGAAATAATACTACAAAATTCTACAAAACTATAAAATATAAGTGTCAGAATCTAAGAAATTCAACGTAAATTTAAAAAGTGCTATAAAAATCAACATGAAAATGCTAGAATTGGAACACTTTTGTTAATTTGTGTAATATTCTACAAGGCAATTGTCCAAAAAGTCTACAAGGCATACACGAGATGTTTTAATTCTTTAAGATTTTGTTGTTTCTCAAATTTTTAAAACTAGTAAAGTTTTGTACTAATTTTTACAAAATTGTACATTCTCATGAAATACTCAGTGAGAAATGATTCGTCGCCCGACTTCGAAATAATGTCAAATCGACGTCAATTCGACGGTGTCGACGTTGACTCGACGTCGATTCGACATCATTTCGACGTCGGGCGGCTAATCATTTCTCATTGGGTACTACTTGCAATAATTTCCTGATTTGAGAGCATTGTAATTTGTGGTACTATTTCGTAGATATTTTTACAAGAAAACTTTCAACGACGATATAAAAATTTCTACAAATTTCTATTTCAAGTCAATTCTTGTAGTCATTTATAGAAATTCTTCCGCTAGGGTTATCTAACGCTTTAGGAAACTTGTCCCGGACGGTTGATAAATAAAAATTCTATTCTATCCCCCCCCCTCTCTCTTTCTCTCCTTAATTGTGTTTTTTCCTTTCGCCATACTGTTTTAACCATGGACGTAAAAAATATTTGTACGTCCATGGTTTTAACGCTACTCTTCTTTATTCTTATATACCACTAATAATAAACCATCACTGTCCGTTATATTGTCACATACGTGTTAAGCGACTATGTCCTTTTCTTTATTATACTTTTTACAATATTCAAATTGTTCATTGTACAAAAGTTCTTTCTCACTTGTGAGTATTTTATATGTGTAGCTTGTTTAACGCTTTAGGTAACTTGTCCCGGGCGGTTAATAAATAAAACTTGTATTCCATTCTACTCTCTCTCCCGGTCTCGAGGTGCAACGCCTTGACGCCACACATTGAAATATCGGTCTGTGATTTCGCACACATTCATTCTTCGCGAAGATGTACCGGACCTACCGCGCCGCGAAGTCCTCGACAAGGACCTTACTTCGGCGAAAATCTAATGGGGGATTCGTCGTCGACTTTCAGTCTCTTAAATTGAAGCAGTCGCTAAGCGTCTTCTCCGTTGATTTTCTATCAAAATCGGGCCTCGGGTAAACAAGATTTCAATCTGCATCCAGGAAATTGACTCCTTAGTGGCGCGTAATTTTCAGTTCCGGATCATTCATGTCTCGATTCGTTTTTACTACGGGAATATTGTTTCCGAGTTTATTGAAGAGCTTATAAAGTATATTCCGCGTATAATCGCGGCGTGAATAATTTTATGAAAAGCATCAACATCCTCTTTATTGTAAAGAGCGAGAGGTGACTCGTTGCATGACCGTGAATGCAAGCCGCGCGCCATAACAGAAATGAAAATTCATCGTACTTAAGCAAAGGTAAAAGAGAAAGTAGGAGAGAGACGAATTGTGTCGGGTAGAAGGGCCTGAGGTCCCAGTTCGCCGCGAATGCGCACACCTGGCGTTTACCAGACCCGATAAAGCTCTCGATTTTGCCGTTCAATAGCGAGGGAACGAGTTTCGGGGCCCCCCTAGGGGCCCCCCGTTTCGACCAGTACATTGGATCAACAATCCTAACGTATGTTCCTCCTCCCTTTCGTTGCAGGACTCGTACGGTATCGAGAGTAACGCCGCGCCAGTTACTGACGCGTCCCAGGATGTCCAAGTGCTCGGCGGCTCGCAAAACGAGACCCACACCGTCGTGACGTTCGTCAGGAAGTGGCAGACCTGCGACTCTCAGGATTATCAACTCATGGTAATCGTCGGGAAGATCATTTTACAATAAGGAACACTGTAGTCGCCAGTAGTTAATTAACGAAAGAAAGAATTGTTAAGTGGTCGTTGCGTCGGATACACGTGCCTTCCAACATATAGCGCCGGCTGAAAGTTGTCACCTTTAGTCACCTTTTCTGAGCATAGCTTTCGTGCACCGAATGTGGCTCAAAATTTTACAGTGGACACCTGATAACAGGTACATCTCGCACACGAAGGGCAATGAAATTTGACAAGGTACATCATGATTTCTCGAATTTTTCATTCGAGCACTTTAAAATTAGTTACGCTCAAAAAATCGAAAGGTGACATATTATTGGCCGGTACTGTAGTTCCTCCGGCCGATGCCCAGAGATGGATGCCGACGTCTCTTCAACATTGTAACTATGACTAATTAACATATTTATTTCCTTGAAAAGGATGGTCGGAACGTCGGAACAATTTAAATAAACTACCCGCCAGTTTAAGTCGAACAGCAATTCTCTCTTTCGTCATTTTACAACGTTTATACTAACACTTTTGCTAGGTAAATACAGACCCGTCCCTTCTCGGGCGACGCGTAAGGTGTCGATTAAAGCACAACGTTTGAAAAATTGTGGCACGTTGAAAACGAGCAAGGAGAAACTAATATTGTAGGGACGAACGATTCAAGTCTAAAGTAAATCTTACAGACTCCGCGGCCTTCAACTCTGTTGCACGACTTGTGCGTAATTGAAAGGGGTCGTTCCCGAATGCCAGGGGGCTGTTTCGCAAGAGCCGCGCATCAATGCGGCGAGGGTCCGGAATTTATCGCGCCTCGCTAACGTCGAAATTACCTTCCGACCTCTAATCCGCTACTCTGTAATTAAAATGCGTGCAAAGAAAGCAAATCTTGGCCGTGCATATCTGACCGGTCAAACGGGATCCTTTAAAAGGGTTCGGAAGTAGGGAGAAGGAGAGAAAAGCGTTGGCCGAAAGATTTACAGTATGACCATCGCGGCTCCGCACAATTCGCGGGGAACCCTCTTTCGATTTATGCCCGGGGGGGGGGGGGGGGGGCAGGAGCCCCGCGGCTCTTTAGGAGGCCGTAGGGCTCCGGCAGTCTCGAATTCCCGCGGTGATATTTAGGCGTTTAGCATGCCGTCTGACCCCCTTTGCCATGACACAATCCTCCGGCAACGTATTCGATTTTAATTACATGCCGCTATAATATGTACTTTGAGAAATAGACGAAGGTCCTCTATTTTGAGACAGGGTTCTAATATGAGACAGTAGACTTTCAACGTCCAAATCCAATCGCAAATCCTTTTTTCGCAACGATTACACGATCTAACAATCAATTTTCCGCTAAACGGATTTCACCTCAAGGGCAATAAATTCATGGTGGAAACCAACAACAGACGATGCCTATTGATTTAGAGAAACTCCGCTATCTTATGTTAGGAGCCTATCTCATAATAGGGGACTTCCCTCTATATGTATATAGTATTTACTGGGATGTGTAAAAAAGAAAATGAGAGACGGGCTGCCGTAATTCGAGAATATTTTTTAACAGTGCGACATCAATGGTTACTGCAGTTTTGCTTTAACTAGCGAAATTCGCTTGTGCGATTTTAGGGCGATAGTATTAGGGTACTGTGGGCCATGCACGAGCACGATCCCGAATTAAACACGGCGATGTGGCACGGGAATAGACGAGGCGGAAGGACTCTGAGGTTGAGGACAGCCGTAGCACATTCGCCACCGCGAGATGCCGGCGAAGAAAGCTTAACGTGGGACGTGAAGCTTAATCAGGTAAAACAAGAATAAGACTGGTATTCATAGTCGGATCTTATACATATATATTTAAGACCGTTTTAAGTTTATCTTTAGATGCTGCATGGAACATTTTATTGACTACGAAGTATCTAAAGATGATCTTAAGACGATCTTGAATATAAGATCTGACTATGAATACCGCGCGCCCTAAAGGTCTGCGCACACGATGCCAGAACTTGGCCCTAGTTCCGAGAAATTGGGGTTGGGAAGCTTACTTTATAACCGTGTCTACACTGAAAAAAAAGTCTGATTCAACCAGTCGTCTGTTAGAAAATGGACGAATCAGAATTCCTTTAAGATTTACCAGAATTCCTTTAGAATTTACCATGAAAGATACTTCATAACCAGAAGTTTGCTAGACTTGACTACAAATCTGGTAAATCCTAAAGGGAATTCTGATTCGTCCATTTTCTAACAGACGACTGGTCGAATCTATCAGATTTTCTTTTCAGTGTAGCTACAGTTACAGTATTTTTACTAAAAAGGTAACTAGTTACAGTTACAAGTTACCAATTCTGAAAAAGTAACACGTTACAATTACAGTTACTCAAAAAGTAACGAAACGTTACTTTGCAGTTACTTTCTTGCAATGAAAATAAAAATATCAAATTTACATTTGAATAGTAGAGCGTCGGTAAAAGCGTTTATGCACAAATGCAAGGCCCAATGCGATCTGCGGAGGTTTAAAAAACATATAAAGTAACTATCAATGTAACTGAGTTAAGTTACAGTTACAGATGAAGAGAAAGTAACGTAGTTAAGTTAGAGCTACTGAAAATAAAGTTAGTGTAACTGTAACTTCGTTACAAGTAACGAGTTATTTCCCAACCCTGCGGGAAGTGCATCGCCAATCAACCTGCAGCTATTCCATAAAAGCTGCAAGTTGACTGGCTACATGTTTCTCGGAACTAGAACTTGGATCAAATTCTAGCATCGTGGACGTAGGCCTTAAGACACCCTCTTTTCTCCATAATCTAGCAAGTTCAAACAGTTAAAGGCGATTTAGATAATTATTTGTTTACTCCACAAATAACGCAGGTGATCCATCATGAACTCACAAAGAACCCCTGTTCCTCTAATCTGTTCGAAATGAACTCCACGCGAATTTCTTTCCAGTGCGAATTCTAGAAAGAGTTCCTCTTGCATCTTTTAAGAATGTTATTAGAACAGAAATTTATTTCACAAGTGGGGAGTGCAAAAAGAATTCTTCTTGGATTCTCTGTGCTATCTGTGGTATCCTAACAAAATAAGTAGCCAAAATCATTAAATATTATTAGACACGACCCAAGATGGATGAACAGTCGTGTTATATAAACTGAAAAAGAAATCTGGCTGCATTAATTAGAAATCTGGTAGATTCCACCAGTCGTCTGTTAGAATATGGACGAATCCGAATTCCTTTAGGATTTACTAGATCGTATAGCGAAGTCTATCAAACTTCTGGTTATGAAATATCGAGCCCTATTGCGATAGCTAAAAATTCTGTTTGGTTTAACCAAAATACATTCTATCATACACGTCTTGATACAATCAAAGCATTTTTCTCAGTGGAGAATAGTTGTATTTTATTAGTACAATCAAATTTACGATCAGTTTAATTTAAATCTGAACCGCCTTCGACGTTTCCTTCGTTTCTTAATGAATTGCGACATAACGATATATCTGTCTGACAGTACGAGGTGCCAGATATGAATACCGTCTACGTGTGCAAGATCTTCCAATTCCCCACAAATCTTACGAAACACCACATGATAGGGGTAAGTACACGGCGATGCTAATTCGCGTTTCTCGAGTAGACACGGACCTCTTGAGAATAAGTCCCGGCGCTGTGATGGAATGCAAAGGCTGGGCCTTATTCGTATGTGTTACACGAATCACGGTCATTCATGCCGGACGTCGCACGGGGTGGACGCGCGTCGTTAGAATAAAAAAAAAGACTCGGAATGATGTCACTGCTTGTATCGAAACGTTCGTCGACTATCAATGGGGGGGGGGGGGGGGGGCACGATCGCAGGAAAGAAAAACTATCACGATCGTTCCCAGGATCTCGGCTCGTCCTTCCGACCTTTCAAGTTTCTGCAAACGTAATCTTCCCGCAAACTCAAGGGAGATCTCGCGCAAATTTCAAAGATCGCCTAATCCGAAGCGGAGCGACTTTAGGCGTCTCGCGTTCATGTATTATTTATTATGCATTTCAGTACACCCCGATAAAGAGCGATCTGGTCCATCACATGATTTTGTACGAGTGTACGTCGCCGATGGTCGGTAAATACCTCAGAATGGTCCCCACCGATTGCTATACCAATAAAGTACCGTCAGAATGGAACTCGTGTCTGCAGCCCGTCCTCGTCTGGGCTCGTGGCGGCGAAGGTAAGTCATTTACAAAGTGCATCCAAATTATTGAGACACGCGATAATCGAGTCCTTCGCGAGAGAAGTCTCGTCGGCCAAATAATCCGCACGAAGTTCCCCGCGAAGGTCCAGAGCGTGAAAATAAGGCCGACGAAGACGATCCAGAGCCTCAAAATTCCTGGACGATAAGAGAAGATCCTTTTACTTTTTCCCCCGTAATTAAAGATTTCTTTCAATTTTGCGAATAGTGTGATAAAACCGTTGTGTCACGCAGGGGAATGGTTTCCGGAGCACGTCGGTATACCCATAGGAGAACGCGGCGAATACTCGTACTATATGCTGGAAGTCCATTACAATAATCCGACGCTATCGAAGATGAATGATAGCAGCGGTATAAGACTTTACTTAACTGAGAAGTTTCGTCCTCACGAAGCGGGCATTCTCGTGGCCGGCGTAGCAGTGAGCCCTCTTCATATGATACCCCCGCAGCAAAAGGAATACGCCACCGTCGGATATTGCACTAAGAACTGCACTGAACAGGTAATTGAAGGATTATGAGTTATTCAACTAGCCATTCTCATATATAGGAAAGCTATGAGATCAAGCTGATTTCAAATTCTGTTTCAGACGTTCCCCAAGAACGGTATTAACATCGTGTCAGTCGTCTTGCATTCGCATTTGGCTGGGCGACGTCTCACCCTGAAGCACATTCGCCAAGGTGAAGAGCTGCCGAGGATAGTCCAGGACAATCATTTCGACTTTAACTATCAGCAATCTTACACCCTGAAAAAGGAAGTGAAGTTGCTGCCCGGCGACGAGCTAGTCACGGAATGTGTTTACCGCACTCTGGACAGATCGAAACCGACGGTAGGCGGCTACATGGCTTCCCAGGAGATGTGTCTGGCATTCGTCATGCATTACCCCAAAACATCTCTCGCCGCTTGTTATAGTATAACGCCTGTTGAGAAGTTCTTCACTGCTTTACACGTAGATAGCTTGAAGGGAATGACGATGGATCAAATAAAGAAACTGTTCTTAAATGGGTGAGTTACCTCGCGCGGGAGAATTTTAGAACGTTCACGATTACATAAAATTACTATTATCGCGAAATCGTATAATACAATTCGTATATTATATCCGCGTAGATTCTTTTATGAAATATATATTTATTAGAAGAAAGTTTCCGATTATGAAATAGGCTCCTAATATGAGACAGCGGAGTTTCTGCTAAATTAATAGGCAGCATCGGTTGGTTCCACCATGAATTTATTGCCCATGGAGTAAAATTTGTTTAGCGGAAAATTGATTGTTAGATCGTGTAATCGTTGCACAAAAATTTGCGATTGAATTTGGACGTTGAAAACCTGTTATCTCACATTAAAATTCTATCTCATAATAGAGAACTTTCCTCTATATATATTTATTTTGATCTCTTTTAATATTGACTAGAAAAGAGAAGAGAAAACGGATTAAAAAAATTTGTATTATTAATATTAATACTTAATATATATTTATATAAAAAGATGTAGACCGAGAGAAAATCGTCGGCTGATTTAAATGTTTCGTTTATTAAAAAATTCTAGATCCGAAGTGATTTCGCCTTCGACCAATCGAGAAAACAACCATTCGCAGTCACGCACAAGATCGCATGACAAGAATGTCGGTAAAAAAATGAAGTTGGGATTAAGGGTCATGAGAGAACACTTACAAGAGAAGGATAACATCTACGCCCGGCTTATCATTGAGAAACCTGAAGAATTTCGAAGTACATATAAATCCAAAAATATAAAATAAATAAAATGTGATAATTATTACATTTTTTGCACAATTCTAGAGAATATTTTCAATATTTTCCCCCTAATTTTTTAATAAATTTTCAGATAGAACAATAGCCGAACATATGATGGCTTTACCATGGACAGAGGATTTGCTCACGAGGGCAATAGAAAACTACCTTTACTATGGCGACCACTTGACATTTTGCAGAAAGGCGGACGATGAATTAGCAATTGTAAAATCTCCCGATGCAATCGCTTATTCCTAATTACAATTTAAAGTCGCAATTGTACTCTTTCAAGAAAAGTAAACTAGGAAACGTTACCCAATAGTTTCTGTGATACAGATTAAATTTATTAATTTTGTCAGTGTAGTTATATTATTTATTCGAAACGTTCGCATAATTAATTACACAAATATAGTCTTTTCGCGCTGTCACTTTAACTAGCACGTTATTATTGCTTGACATTTATCTATTTGTATTTACATTCAACGAGCATGGCACTGCTTTATTAATATATTTTATTTATCACAAATTTATTAATTTTTTATTAATTCTTCAAGCCCACAGCTATTCAGAGCTTCCCGAATTTTACGGCGCTACCGGAGACGAACGTCACGGTCTGCAGCGATATTCAGTTTACGTCTGGCTCCACCGAAGACGTCCATATCTACTTGATGAACTACTTGGTCACTATTGTCGTCGTATCGATTGTTATGTTATAAGAGGCCTTGAGCGAATAGTCAACGACAGTCAGCGGCTGCACGGCGAATGCAATTCGCACTGTCAATTACCGTCGAGTACGATAAATACAGTTCTCGTCCCTTGGGAAAATTTACCTTAGAAAATCTGGACATTTTACTTTAGAAAAATAAGAAATATGAAAAGTAAATTCGGACACTTTAAACTTACTTTAAAAATTTAAAAGAAAACTTTAAGAATTGTGAAAAGTATGTGATATAATACGACGTGCGGTTTTCTTCTTACGAGAAAGTATTTACTATGCCGCGTGGCCCTCTAGCAGGAACTTCCACAGGCTTGGCTATCTAAAAATTACTTTATGTATGTCCAAAATTACTCAAATTTTTTTTAGTAAACTTTTAACTTCTTGAATTAAACTCTTAGATTTGAAAGATTACTTTTACAAACACTTCAATTTCATTTAAGGTAAATTTTCCCAAGGGGTCTCAGGAATATTTTTCTGTATATTTTCAAATTTGCAAGACGTGCTTGATTAACTTATTAATTTAAGCGCTCTTACCTTGTAAGCAATTTTCTCGAACGAGCCCGAAACAAGTCGAGATATTCCTAAAGTATTAGATAGCTGGTCAATTTCTTCAGCTCAGGAGACGACAGAATTTTCCAAAAAATTTTTATCGAGCCGGCACACTAAGCGTATAAAACAAATATATATAGATATATGTGTATAGAAGTATGTAATATAATGTGTAAATACATAATTATTAATAACGTATATTTATAAGCAGTGCTCTCTATCCCGTTTTACTATTTTGTAATGTGTGTTTTGTATAAACATAAATGTCTAAACATTTTCTATAAACGTGTATTTTCACTGAGACATTTTTTATCTCCTCTTCTTCTATGTTAAGTTTGCTCACTTCTTAACATCATTAATAGTCTTTTTTGTTGATAATTCCCAGATAGCACAAGACACTCCTATGAACATTTTAAGAATATTCTTCAATTTGGAATATCCAATAGGCAGGGTTGGGAAAGTTACTTTATAAAAGTAACTAGTTACAGTTACAGTTTTTTCGCTAACAATATAACTAGTTACAGTTACAAGTTACCAATTCTGAAAAGTAACGCGTTACAGTTACAGTTACTCGAAAAGTAACGAATCGTTACTTTGCAGTTACTCCCTTGCAATAGAAATAAAAATATCGAATCTGCATCTGGATTGTAAAGCGGCGATAAAGGCGTTTATGCGCAAACGCAAGGCCTCCCATACAGCACAGATGGTTGCAGTTACATTGCAGAAACGTTGCAATCTTGCAGATTGCAGTGCAATCTTGCAGAGACCTTGCAGGGATATAAAATTGCAAACTTTCGATAGCAATATTGCAGCAATGTTTCAAAAATAATAAAAATACTATATTTTCTATTAAAAAAATTTTTCTAATTACGAAAATTTTATTTGTTATTTTCGTTGATACCAATAATGCGCGAATTATTAAATACTCGATCAGTACGGTGTTGCTCGCAATCTCCATCTATTGCGAAGCGACATAATCTCCTTAGGTTGCTTCGCAATAGCTTGCTGTGTATTGAAAAAGGTCTGGATGCATATGTAATTAGTAAATTCTCTGCTTATGTACAACAACAACAAATTATTCCAAAAATATTGCACTGCAACAGTGCTATAATGTTGCACTGCAATCTCTCTGAGGGCGGACATTTCAACGTTGCTGTAATCCTCCAGAAACGTTGCAGCAATATTGCGCAACGTTGCTGCAATATTGCAATCTTGCAATGTAACATTTCTGCAATCTTCCTGCAATCTTTCTGTGCTGTGTGTTAATGCGATCTGTGAAGGTTGAAAATATATATAAAGTAACTATTAATGTAACTATTAAATTAGTTACTAGTTATCGAAAACATGTAACTGAGTTAAGTTACAGTTACAGATATAGAGAAAGTAACGAAGTTAAGTTAGAGTTACCAAAAAGAAATGACTGTAACTGTAACTTCGTTACAAGTAACGAGTTACTTCCCAACCCTGCCAATAGGTCATTCTTATATATTTATCTTGTGTTCGTGGAACATTCGACTGGCACTATTATGAATTTTTTTCGAATGTGAATAGAATAATCTATCGAATATAGCGTGTCGGTTATACCACAGGTTATACCTGGTATGATAACAGGTTTCACTGCCTTTTGCATAAGATAAGTGTATTACGCAATAAACAATGTGCAATACATAAACTCGATGAATATTCAAAAATTATTCTGAACGAATATTCCAAAGATATTCTCGACGAATATTCTAACCCATACGGCACAGAAATATTGCAGCAACATTGCAGAAATATTTCTTTGCAACATTGCAATATTGCAGAAATGTTGCAAAATGTTGCTGCAACACTGCTGCAATCTTGCAGCAACGGTAAAATGTCCGCCTTCAGAAATATTGCTACGTAACGTTGCAACAATGTTGCAATAAAATAATTATGCAATAATGCTTTGGAAATGTGCCAGTATACGGTTGAGCTGGATATTTTATGCGTAATATAATAACTTTTTTCGTATAAATTTATATATATTTTTCGCTTGACAAACTGTGTATTATTATAGGTAATTAAATTTAATTATGTATATAATTAAACTTAATTACGCATAATGGCATACAGTTTGTTAAGCGAAAAATATATGTAAATTAACGCAAAAAATATTATTACGCACAAAATATTTAGTCCAACAGTATATTGATACATTTTCTATTTACTTATCTGTTATAATTAGACGTACATGGCTTACTTAATATAAGTATTATTTTAGATTATATACAAGTTGATAATAGCTTTAACATACGAAGTGAAACCATTTTGGAACGCATTTTTTAAAAAAGTTTTAAAATGATAAATATCACTTAGGGCCAGTTTCACAAACGTCGGTTAACTGTTAACCAGAGTTCAGTCAACTTCCTATCTTTTTCTATTTTGTTATCTAAGAAGAGACAGAGAATCAATTAACCTTCGGTTAGCAGCTAACCGACGTTTGTGAAACTGGCCCTTAATGTATTAAACTTCATATGTGAACTTATTCGTAATGACACATAATAGTATATTGTGATACATGTGCGGGAAATTGGCTATTGGCCACGAGTAGCGGGTGGGCGCACGAGCCGAAGGCGAGTATTGTGTCGGCAAATGTCTATTTTGGCCACGAAAAACTGTCAAAAAAGAGGCACTTTTCCGTGCACGTGTGATATAAAATATATTTTAATCTTGGAATTTAGAGGCAAGAAAAATGTATACATATATATACATATACACATAATATATATATATTATAAATAGATTATATGTATTTTTTTTATAACATTACATTCATCCCTCTGTCGACCTGAGTCTTTCAGTCCTCTTTATGTCTGGGACCATTTAGAGATACACTGGGATTATCGCTGATAGAGGAATGATTCCCAAATCACATACCACTCTGATCCCTTAAAATACGCTTTAGTTGATTTAAACGAGGTAACTAATTATTATTATTCTAATTCCATTATTATATTATTCCAATCTGTATCAAAGTATTGCGTTCACATCCTGTATTCTCGATTGTTTCATTGTAGTTTTACTGAGGAAGACCCGAAGGAGGGTCGAAACGTTTATTAAAGAGAAATTTTGTTTCTAACTTGTTGAGAACCGTCTTCTGTTCATTTGTGGCTCACATTGGTGTTCTTCCCTTTCTACCTAAAATTTGAATTTTTTAAAATTCATTGTAACGTCTTTAATGGGCAGAACTATTTCTTAAACCCATCAAGAACTCTGGAACTATTGTAAATCTATAGGGAACTCGTAAAAAGTTAAAATTTTAAATAATGGGGGCTAACTTCACAGGGGTGTTTTTGTGTGGAATTTTAATCGAGACCACCAAAAACGGATTCAGAGAAAAAACTTATTTTCTGTTTTGTACCCCCATTTAATACTTCAAGAAAACTGCAAGTGTTATGCAAGATATAAAACAAATATAAAATTTATAAAATAATTATCTCCTGTCTGGCGGAGCCGCGTCTCATGTCTGACATCACTGGCTGCGTTTAGCAGAAAAAGCTGCTTTACAACTGTTGTATAATTCGTGAATCTGATTGACGTAAGCTCTTAATCTCTAGCTAACTCTAAAAGCATACACCAATCAGATTCACGAATTTTGCAACAGTTGGAAAGCAGCTTCCTTTGCTGAATACAGCTACTGTTTCCGTAAATCAACGCCTATCGCCTCCCACTTACGACTTTAACGAATCGCCTGACAAGGCACACGATATTTCTCAGGTACGGCGCATTTGTAATACGATGTCGTACTCCTTGACTGCCAAATGTCAATGTTTTAAAGACGCAGCCTCTTTAAAAATCTCTTTACAAAATTAAATATATAATTATATTATAATAAATTATTCAATTTCAAGAGTAAGTTGACTCGCGGAAATCGGCTAAAATATGCATCGTGAACAGCTCTAATTTAATAATCTACATTGAAATGTGATTATAAATAATATATTACACCATATACAATTTATAATATTTTATACAATAGTATCCTAAGGTTATACATAAATCGTGGCGATCGTGGCGCAGAGGATTGTGCGCTGGTCTAGTAATCCCAAGACCTGGGTTCAAAACCAAACAAAACATTGTTGGTTTTTCGTTCGATCGCCACATAGAGAAGTGGATGTAGAGAGAGGTGTTATAAGAGGTTTGGGCACATTCCTTCAAAAACGCCTTGTAACCCTAAGGGGAATCAATAAAATGTATCTACTTCTCAAGGCCTCCAATCTGATACCACCTTTGCATGATATCAAGCATGACCGTAAATGGTTTATAACTTCATCCTATTTGTTCTCCATGGTGGTACCCTCTTCTGTAAGAGACCACAAGTAGAATACGGAGATTTAAATATCCGTATTCTACCTGTGTCTCTTTCATAAGAGGGATTCACCAGGGATAATAAATAGGATGAAGTTATAAACCATTTTTATGGTCATGCTTGATATCATGCAAAGGTGGTATCATATTGGAGGCCTTGAGAAGTAGATACATTTTATTGATTCCCCTTAGGGTTACAAGGCGTTTTTGAAGGAACGTGCCCAAACCTCTTATAACACCTCTCTCTACATCCAGTCGTGCTAACCACCTGCAACAGATTTTAATCAATGTATACAATTAAATTATATGGTAAAACACGAGGCTCTATATTAATATGATTCACGAAAAAAGATTGCAAACGCAGTCACAGGATTTCCGAGTACGAAAGCAACAAAGAGATAATGCGGCATAAACAAAGGCGGGGAGGGGGGGGGGACACGTGTTCATTATAACATTATATTATACGAGGGTTGTCCGTAAAATAAGGTCTCCAATTTTTTTTCACAAAGAAAAACACGTTTATTTGCAATGAATTATACATCGTTGGAAAGCCTGGACTTTCTACTATTTTTCTATATAATCCCCGTTGCGATCGATGCATTTTTGCATGCGGTGTAGCACATTTTTCGTATACCCGTGTCATAGAACTCTCCCGCCGCGGCGCGC